GGAAGTTCAGTAGAAGACTTGCCTGTTGTCGAGGAAATTGTTCAAAGAAACATCTTTATATACGATTTCGATATCCAAGAAGGTGATTATGTAGGAGAACTAACTCGACGAATTATTGGAAGACCTGACAAAACTGTCAAATTACTGAGATTTAACATTGATATCATTCATACAAATGATATTGATTCTTTCTTCAAGTGCGTCCGGTGTCCTAGTTGTGATACTTTATTTAAAAGATCTGAGTTTCTCGACAAACATCTTTTGAGATGCAAGGACCGAGTGAAACATTTTTACCCAAAGAACGTCTATGAACTTCGCGAAACCTTGTTTGAAAAGCTAGAAGGATTCAATCTTCCAGTTTCTGAAGATAACAAACTTTTCAATAATCTAGCAGTTTTCGATTTTGAGTCAATTTGTGTTCCTACAGAGGAACTAAAAGAAACACAAAATACAAGCTGGATTGGAAAACATGTTCCAATTTCACTCTCTATATCATAAAATCTGATTGATGAACCCATCTTTTTGTACAATAAGGATGCACAGAACTTGATTATTGATTCTGTAAGCAAGCTCGAGCTGTTGGCTGAGAAAAGTAAGCTGGAGATGAGAACAAAATTTCAAGATGTTGAAGTGGCTGTCAATGAACGATTAAAAAAGATTTTTGATCAGCTAAACGAACGCGGTAAAAATTACTCAAGTAACAAATTTGAGTACCAAGACGAATGCATTGAAGTTTCGGAAGACGTAGATATTTCAACACAATTATTGCAAATTCAGAAAAATCAACACATCGATTTGAATCAACATCTGGAGAGATATGTAAATACTTTACCTATTTTTGGATTTAACAGTGGTAGATATGATTTGAATTTGATCAAGTCATACTTATTCTCTTATTTGATTCCCGATAAAGAACAAGAAACATCAGTAATCAAAAAAGCGACCATTTTTTTCCTTCAAGCTTGGAGATGTACAATTTCTCGACATAATGAAGTTTCTGGGTGGGGCAATTACTCTGGACTCCTTTCTCAAAGCCTATAAAGCTAGCGAAACGAAAGGATTCTTTCCCTATGAGTGATTTGATAACCCAGACAAACTTGATTTTCCCGAACTGCGACCGTATGAAGCTTTTTTCAGTAAACTTAGAAACAACAATCCTCTAGACAAAGACTTCGTCGATAATGAGAAGCTGAGAAATAGTGGGCTTGATGAACAACAAGCACTGAAAAAGCTTCAAATCAAGACTCTGTCTCCATCTGGATTGGATAATTACAAATACTTACAGGAGACATAGAAGAAAAACGGAATGACCCTGTTCAAAGACTTTTTGAAGTGGTACAACAACAAGGATGTAGTTCCAACTCTGAAAGCAATGCAAAAAATGATGGAGAGCAAAACAAGGAGATAGATATGTTAAAACTTGGTTGTACTCTTCCAAATGAAGCAAATATATGTCTACACAAATCTACAAAATACAAGTTTTATCCATTTTGCAAAAATGATAAAAATTTGTGTGAAACAATTCGAGAAGACATGACTGGTGGACCATCCATTGTGTTCACTCAAAAAGCTGTAGTTGATGAAACTTTCATTAGAAATTCATCAAATGTTTGTAAATCAATCGTTGGATTTGATGCAAGTCCGCTCTACCCCTTCTCAATGAGTCAAGATATGCCAACAGGACTGTACACGAGATGGTTGGTTGACACTGATATGCAGAAATTCAAAGCTAGACATAATTGATCACCTAATTTTGAGAAAATGGTCATATCTTTTCACCAGGAAACAAGACCAGAATAAAAAATTGAGAGTTTTTTCACATCTGGAAAATAGAAAAACATCGACTGTTTTAATGTGGACGGTTATTGTGATTACTGTAAGACAGTGTTTGAAGCAATGGGATCTTACTACCACTTCTGTTCTTGTCAAGAAGCTCGTCCTTCCTTAACAGATCAGGATATTGAACGAGGTAATAAGAAGAGAGAGATGGATGATTTGAGACGGGAATACATAAAAGAGAAAGGATACAAAGTTGAAGAAATGTGGGAGTGTGAGTGGTGGGAAAGCTTCAAATTAAGTGACAAGGTCAAAAATTACGTCAGAAACCACTTTCACTATCAAACACTTCTTTTTACAGACTGCCTTCTAAAAAAAAACAAAAGATAGATCTCTTTTTGGCTATGTTCAGTGCGACTTAGTTGTTCCAGATGAACTGAAATCTAAATTTGCGAATTTTCCTCCAATTTTCAAAAATACTGAGGTTGGAAGAAATGATATCGGAGATTACATATAGAATCATGAAATTGAAAATGAAATGCTAAAACATCCTCAAAAAATGCTGATATCTAGTTTCAAGCTGGAAAATGGAACAGTAATAACTCCTCTGTTCAACTTTAATTTGGAACTTGGCTTGCAGTGCACCAAAGTTTACCGTTCTGTTCAGTATACTCCACGGAAAGGCTTTAATAATTTTGTTCATTCAGTGGTTGATGCTAGAAGAGAAGGAGATGAAAACCTTTTGCCAGGAATTTTAGCAGAAACAATGAAAATTTTGTGTAATTCTTCGTATGGATATCAGATCATGGATAGATCCAGGCATACAATTCAAAATATCTGAACGACGAAAAAACTCATAAGGCAACCAATGAACCACTGTTTGAAAGACTTAACACAGTTGAGAAGGACTTATATGAGGTGGAGTTGTTGAAATCAACCATTGAGCACCGAGAACCCATCATTGTTGGTTTTTTTTATACTTCAGAATGCAAAACTGAAAGTGTTGGAGCTCTACTATAACTTCTTTGACGAATTCTGTGATGTAACCAAATTTGAAGAGTTAGAGATGGACACAGACTCGCTTATTTTAGCCCTTGCTGAAGAAAATTTATACGACTGTATCAAACCAGATAAGAGAGCTGCTTGGGAAAAAATGTGGGAAAATGACTGCAGAGACTCTTTCAAGGCGGATGCAAAATCTAATTTCTTACCTCGAACGTGTTGCAGTACGCATAAAAAGTATGATAAACGGGAGCCGGGACTTTTTAAAGAAGAATTTAGATGAACAGAAATGCTCTGTTTGTGTAGCAAGACATATTGCTGCTATGACAACAAGTCAGATAAATTCAAATTTAGCAGCAAAGGATTTAGCAAACGGGTCCTAGAAGATTCTGGACACGGTCCCATGTCAAACTACAGGAGAGTACTCGATGAAGCAATCACCCTGACATCTACAAATAGAGGATTCAGAACGGTAAACCACATGGTTGCCTTATATGAGCAAAAAAAGGACTAAGTTAATTTTATCTAAAAAAAGACAAGTTCAAGATGATGGAATTCAAACAAAACCATCGAACTTATTATTAGTTTTTGGAGATGAATGCAATGTATTCATTTTTAGTACAATGCAGTATTTTAATGGTGTTTTATTATAAAGTTGCGGTAAATTTCAAATACGATGCAGTGATTTATATAATTTCTTTGTAATTTAATTTTTTTTCTCAAATTTGACTTTATTTGAAGTTTCAGTAGGTTTCAAAATAGATTCAAATAGATAGAAAGTAAAAGTTTCCAATAAATTTTTATTAGATCAAAAAATAACAAATCTTATCGCGTTTTTGAAGCTTTTATTATTTACCACTGATTTACCATGTATCAAAAAACTAAATAAAAGTCCTTCCTTACACAATCTACACGTAATTAACCTTTGCTTTTTACAAATTAGATAATACGCGTCAAATTTTTGCGAAAAACTAGACATTTCTACTCAAGAACCAAAAGAAAATTCGTTTTTCTTACCATTATTTTACCATCACACAAACCATAAAACCTTCGGTATTCCCTATCTTATTTCATTGTAAACTCTATGCCCAACGTTATTACATAGCCGGAAGACCGGCTGCTCTATTCCTTATCTTAAAACATGGGGGTCTTCCACCTCCCCCTGATCACCTCCAACATCTACTACTGGCATACTCTGAATCCATCTCAGTAATATACAACTACGACACCACCAATTTACTTGCAAGAACTTCTTGTCGTCCTGTCAGACCGAAAAACACTGTAGACATCGATTTTGAAAAAACTGTTGTGTAATTCTGAATTGAGCCATGTTTCAGTAACAAAACGGAAATCAATATCAGTTGCAATTATATCAGCAGCTAGACGCTCAACGCAGTGTGGTTTTTTTTGTGATCTAACATATATTAACTTTTTTTGGAGCTAGTCAAAGGTTTGATATAAATGTTCCATCTCGTTGAAGGCGTGAATTCGTCAACGTCACTTTTAATCAGTTCAAATCTCCCTTTCAGTGCCTGATTTTCTAGTTTTTGTTCGTCTGTTGTCAAGTTTTTGCTTACGAATACACCTGATGTGTTGTAGAGTTTGAAAGCATTAGCTTTGTGGAAAACTAACTCGGCGTCTCAGTTGCAATTAAATTCAACAATAGTTGTCCTTTTTCTGTCGGCGCTATATCGTCCCAACCTTGTAATATTCACAACAGGCACCTTGAGGTCCAGAGAGTGAAGCAGGGTTTGGACCAAGTTTTGCTCATCCATTTGTCTTTGAAAAGCCTCTTTCGTTGTGCTTTCTGTGACACCTTTAAAACGCAATCGTTTGCTAACAAAGTCGTGCTATGGCGCCGCTCTTTGACCTGTTGATTCGATATCTTGATTGGTATGTGAAAAAACTTAGATGTCACACGCGTTATCAACAACGGCTTGCTTTATTTTTTGAATCTGCTCAAGAATTTTATTTTGATACAGCAGATTAATTTGTTTAGTTTCAACAGCAGGTAGGCATGTCGGACAGTGCCATTTACGGGCAGGTATTTTTGACATAACCTCGACTTCTTTTTGCGTCAGGTTGACGCATACCAGATGACACCAGGATTCGCAAGAGTCGCATCCAAAAGATGTTCCGTTGTTTTGTCGCACTTCAGGCAGTCATCCTTGAGGTTTTTCGCATTCTTCTGCTTGGATCGTCTTCCTCCCATATCAAATCTTTTTAATAAGTTTATCACAACAATGGCGGAAATCTTTTATTTACTTTTCCCTTATATTTTTTATTGAAAATTTAATTTGTATAGGATAGGCATTGTCTAATAGTTATTGTAAAAGTCCTGACAAAGCGCATAGTTGCGAAAACGTTTGAAACCTACTTTTTTAAAACTAAAAATATCTTCCTCTCAAAACATTTTTAAAATTTCTAATTATTTTGTCTGGAAGTTTCTGAGTCATAGTTTCGATTCAAAAAATAACTTTTTAAACAAAAAACCAAACAATTCGGAACTACATTCTCAGAATAAAAGAAATTTAAAATTATTTATAAATTATTAATTAAAACTTCTTCGCATTTCTTGTGCACAATCAGGATTAAATATTTTTACGTTATTTACAAAACTATCAAAGATCTGAAAAATGAGAAACATGTCTAAAAATGTTCTGAAACTTTTTGACCAATCAAATTCAAACAACTGTAATTACAATATTAATTACGTAATCATTAAGAACATTTTCCTGTAAATTTTGAGATTTTTTAGTTTTTTGTTCTTTCATGGTTATAAAATTTCGATTTGGGAAATTTTTGATTCTGACATGTATTTTAGCCATCTGATGAATACGCCATATTTTTACTGTTAATTCACGGCTCTTGAATTAATCCTGTGTTGATCCGCGGCCTCTCTTTTCAAATTTGCAAAACATCTAGTGTCGGTAGCTTATGAGTGTTAGCTGTTTGGTCTACAATCTCTGACTACAAAATTTTCAGGGTAAAACATCTTAATTTTAATTCTGTTGACTCTCTGCTTCTATACTCATCGCGCGTGTTCCTGATATGTTTTTCCTCTAGTGTTAACAGTTTTGTTTTATAATTTCTCAAATAAGATCTGCGCTTTGTCCCTCAAGACTACATTGCTGAAGTTGGAGGCCTACCTGTGAGTCTGTTTTCTTACCTTCCTCAATTCTAGTGGTCATATGTCGATACACTTTGCCCCGCATAGATGGAAGTGCATCCATTGAGGAAACTTTATAAACCACCCTTGACTTGAGTTCATTAGAAAATGCTGACTTCAGTGATGGTAAACATGTTTTGAGTTTTCTAGTGGTGAAAACCACTTGAACGTTGGTTAAATTTCGTAATCAGCTTGCAAAATTTTGACTTTGATTACCTCTATATTAAATCATCAGCATCAGTGGCTTCACATTTTTTGGTGATTGAGTTGACGAATTCCTCTCACTATCAAGGGCTTGCCCTTATCATCGATGATTTTGCACAGGATGTCTGCCGCCACCTTTGCGGACCAATTTTCAGGTTACTAAATTGTTAGCTATTGCGCGCTTTCAAATGTCATAGCCTTACCAAATTGCTCCCAGGTAGATGTGTTCCTAAAGTCGCTGTGTACAGTTTTTTGAATAACACTAAGCTTATACTGACTATGAGTGCAGCTTCCATAAATCAGTATAGTTCCAGTACCTGATGGCTTTTGATATTAATTACAGGTTACACATCTATCCTGCGATACATTTATGTTCAAATCCAGGAACGGAATATTCCCCTCGGATAATTTCCTCAAGAGTGAACTGCAGACTTGGACGAAGAGAATTGGCGGCATCCAGAAAGCAACTCGGCTCACGTCTGACTGTTCTAGCAATGTCATCCACATACCCGAAGAATTTTTTTTGTGGAGTATCCTACAACAACAAGGATGGTGCTCCAACCCTTGAAATAATTCAAAAAACGGTTCAATTTTATCATCAGAAAAAAAATTCTACAAAAACTTGGATTTACTCTTCCAAATCTGGCAAACATTTGTCTGCACAAATGAACCAATGAAAAATTCTACACATTTTGTGAAAGTAATAGAGATTTGTGCAAGAAAACTAGAGAGGATATGACGGATGCACGATCAATTGTGTTTACAAGTAAAGCTGTTGCGGATGATTGAAACACGGGATTCATCAATTGGCTGCATTCGAATCTTTGGAATTGATGCGAGCCAGCTCTATCCCTATTCAATGTGTCATGCCAACAGGATTGTACACAAAATGGGACTTTGATTCCGATATGCATCAAATTCAAGACTAGACATAACCGATCTCGCAATTTTGAGAACATGGTCATGTCCCATTACCAAGAAAAAACACCAGAATGCAGAATTGGGAGCTTCCACACAACTAAAAATTAATAGAAAATTCACTGTTTCAATTTAGATGAATACTGAAGTAACTAAAAAACAGTGTTTGAAGCTATCCGATGCTCTTACAACTTCTGTCCCTACCAGAAGACTCGCCCATCTCTGAGCGATAAATATATTGATAGAGGAAACAAAAGTAGAGAGATGGATGACTTGAGACGTGAGTGTATTCGCGAAAGAGGATATAAAATCGAAGAGATATAGGATTGTGAGTGGTGGCAAAGCGTTAAAACGAACGAAAAAATTAAGAATCATAACCAACCCAACTTTCTCTACAAAGACCCTTCTCTACTGATTAATTATTGGAAGAAAAAAAAAGAACGATCCCTTTATGGCTTTATTCAGTGTGACTTAGTTGTTCCAGATGAACTGAAAGCAAAATTCCACAATTTTTTTCCAGTTTTCAGAAACACTGAAGTTGGATTAGATTCTATCGGGGAATATGTTCAAAATTATGCCAAAATGATCTTCTTAAACTTCTCCAGCGAATGCTAGTATCTAGTTTCAAATTAGAAAATGGCTCTATTATTACTCCTCTCTTCATTTCTGTATGGATTTTGGCGTTCAAAGTTTTATCGCTCTGTACAGTATTCCCCTCGAATTAGCTTCAACATTTCTGTCCAGTCAGTTGTTGATGCTAGAAGTGAAGTTAATGAAAACCCTTTATCAAGAGTTGCAGCAGAGACTATGAATTGTTTAGGTAATTCATCCTACGATCTGAAAAATGAGAAACATGTCTAAAAATGCTCTGAAACTTTTTGACCAATCAAATTCAAACAACTGTAATTACAATATTAATTACGTAATCATTAAGAACATTTTCCTGTAAATTTTGAGATTTTTTAGTTTTTTGTTCTTTCATGGTTATAAAATTTCGATTTGGGAAATTTTTGATTCTGACATGTATTTTAGCCATCTGATGAATACGCCATATTTTTACTGTTAATTCACGGCTCTTGAATTAATCCTGTGTTGATCCGCGGCCTCTCTTTTCAAATTTGCAAAACATCTAGTGTCGGTAGCTTATGAGTGTTAGCTGTTTGGTCTACAATCTCTGACTACAAAATTTTCAGGGTAAAACATCTTAATTTTAATTCTGTTGACTCTCTGCTTCTATACTCATCGCGCGTGTTCCTGATATGTTTTTCCTCTAGTGTTAACAGTTTTGTTTTATAATTTCTCAAATAAGATCTGCGCTTTGTCCCTCAAGACTACATTGCTGAAGTTGGAGGCCTACCTGTGAGTCTGTTTTCTTACCTTCCTCAATTCTAGTGGTCATATGTCGATACACTTTGCCCCGCATAGATGGAAGTGCATACATTGAGGAAACTTTATAAACCACCCTTGACTTGAGTTCATTAGAAAATGCTGACTTCAGTGATGGTAAACATGTTTTGAGTTTTCTAGTGGTGAAAACCACTTGAACGTTGGTTAAATTTCGTAATCAGCTTGCAAAATTTTGACTTTGATTACCTCTATATTAACTCATCAGCATCAGTGGCTTCACATCTTTTGGTGATTGAGTTGACGAATTCCTCTCACTATCAAGGGCTTGCCCTTATCATCGATGATTTTGCACAGGATGTCTGCCGCCACCTTTGCGGACCAATTTTCAGGTTACTAAATTGTTAGCTATTGCGCGCTTTCAAATTTCATAGCCTTACCAAATTGCTCCCAGGTAGATGTGTTCCTAAAGTCGCTGTGTACAGTTTTTTGAATAACACTAAGCTTATACTGACTATGAGTGCAGCTTCCATAAATCAGTATAGTTCCAGTACCTGATGGCTTTTGATATTAATTACAGGTTACACATCTATCCTGCGATACATTTATGTTCAAATCCAGGAACGGAATATTCCCCTCGGATAATTTCCTCAAGAGTGAACTGCAGACTTGGACGAAGAGAATTGGCGGCATCCAGAAAGCAACTCGGCTCACGTCTGACTGTTCTAGCAATGTCATCCACATACCCGAAGAATTTTTTTTGTGGAGTATCCTACAACAACAAGGATGGTGCTCCAACCCTTGAAATAATTCAAAAAACGGTTCAATTTTATCATCAGAAAAAAAATTCTACAAAAACTTGGATTTACTCTTCCAAATCTGGCAAACATTTGTCTGCACAAATGAACCAATGAAAAATTCTACACATTTTGTGAAAGTAATAGAGATTTGTGCAAGAAAACTAGAGAGGATATGACGGATGCACGATCAATTGTGTTTACAAGTAAAGCTGTTGCGGATGATTGAAACACGGGATTCATCAATTGGCTGCATTTGAATCTTTGGAATTGATGCGAGCCAGCTCTATCCCTATTCAATGTGTCATGCCAACAGGATTGTACACAAAATGGGACTTTGATTCCGATATGCATCAAATTCAAGACTAGACATAACCGATCTCGCAATTTTGAGAACATGGTCATGTCCCATTACCAAGAAAAAACACCAGAATGCAGAATTGGGAGCTTCCACACAACTAAAAATTAATAGAAAATTCACTGTTTCAATTTAGATGAATACTGAAGTAACTAAAAAACAGTGTTTGAAGCTATCCGATGCTCTTACAACTTCTGTCCCTACCAGAAGACTCGCCCATCTCTGAGCGATAAATATATTGATAGAGGAAACAAAAGTAGAGAGATGGATGACTTGAGACGTGAGTGTATTCGCGAAAGAGGATATAAAATCGAAGAGATATAGGAATGTGAGTGGTGGCAAAGCGTTAAAACGAACGAAAAAATTAAGAATCATAACCAACCCAACTTTCTCTACAAAGACCCTTCTCTACTGATTAATTATTGGAAGAAAAAAAAAAGAACGATCCCTTT